CTTTTTTTTTTTTTTTTTAGCTGAGGATCAAACCTAGGGCCTTGCGCTTGCTAGGCAAGCGCTCTACCACTGAGCTAAATCCCCAACCCCCTAATTCTTTTATTTTTATTTTTTTGTTTCATTTGGTTTGGTTTGGTTTTTCAAGACAGGGTTTCTCTTATGTGGCTTTGGAGCCTGTCCTGGAACTCACTCTGTAGACAAAGCTGGCCTCGAACTCACAGAGACACACCTGCCTCTGCCTCCCGAGTGCTGGGATAAAGTTAACCACCAGAGATGTGTTCTCCAAATAGGCCTACTACCCCTTCATCCATGTGTCGTTAGCCAGGCTTACAGTCCTGAGTCCCATCCTGTCCCTCAAGGCGTCTTCAGTCTGTTCAGGGAACAGTCAGTTACCGCTCAGCAGCCAAGCTGTCGCACAACCGGACAGATTATGCTTTGCAAATGGTTTTCTTTATATTCTCTTTATCCTGGATCATCTCCCCTTCCTCTCCCCAATCCCCCTGCCTCCCTCCCTGCCTAAGCCTTTCCACCCACAGTACTCCCCTCCCCTTTCATTTCCTTTACCTTCTGCTCTGCCACCCCCTCATCCCTCTCCTTTAAAGTAACCCTTCCTCGCCTTCCCTTCCTTGTGCCCTCATTTGCAAAGGAATTTTAGGTGTGTGTGTGTGTGTGTGTGTCTGTCTGTGTGTGTTTAAGTTCTGTATATGTATGTGTGTCTGGGGTGTGTGTGTGTGCACAAGTGAATGCTGGTGCCCAGGGAGAAGAAGATGTCAGACCCCCCTGGAGCTGGAGTTACTTAGCCATGTGACTTGAATGCCGAGAACGGAACATGGTCCTCTCCAAGAGCAGTCGCCACCTCAAGCTCCAGGGAGCTTTGAAAGTAGTGGCCGAGAAAGAACATGCGTAAACATAATCCATGGGTAATCAATACATTGACTTTATTTGTATTGTTCAAATTTTTCGAATACACAAAACTTTCTAATAATGGAGACTTCTAAGATGGAGTTAGTGGAGTACGAAATACACAGTAATGTGTCAAGTATGCAAGGCTAACACCTGGAGGACCTGTCAGATAAGCTTGACATGTGATTGTTCTGGTGAAACTCGTGTGTGTGTGTGTGTGTGTGTGTGTGTGTGTGTGTGTGTGTGTGTGTAAGGTCTCACTATGTAGCTCTGGCTACCCTGGAACTCTCTATGTAGACCAGGCTGGCCTGGAACTCAGAGAGATCTGCTGGCCTCTGCCTCTTGAGTGCTGAGATTAAAAATGTACACTGTTGGCCTGATGGCACATACCTTTAATCCCAGCACTCAGGAGGCAGAGACAAGGGGACTCTCTGAGTTCCAGGCTAGCCTGGTCTACAGAATGAGTCTAGTTTACTCAGAGAAATGCTGTCTCAAAAGAGGGTAAAAAAAACAAACCCGCACACCACGGTGCCCAGGCCTGTATTATCACTTGTGTGGAGTTACTGACTTGGAGCTGGCAGGAGCTACTGGATGGGAAGCCCGGAACAGTGTCCTGGCTAACTCGCAACCCTTGACTCTTTCTTCGGGGCCTCCTTGGTTATTTTTTCTAACCCCTTACACTGTAGGCTAACACTCCACCAACCGAGCTCCAGCCCCGCCCCCAGGACAACCTGCCACTTAACCAGGGATCCTAACCATGATGGTGGACAGCACTGAGGCTTAGATGGACAGATAGCATGTGTGTGGGGCTCACTCTGACGCAGGACTTGGAACCTCCTTCTGACCCCCTGATCTTCACTGTCCCTTACGGACTTGGAATTGATTGACCTCGTGTCTCCAAAGTAGAACCTGGCAGGCTGTGATATTTGTGGGTCTCTCTCCTGACTGCAGGTTCGTCTCAGCACTAGACATAAGGCCCTGCGACATCAGGCCTTTGCCCTAAACAGCTCACGATGCCAGGAACTGGCAAATTTCTACTTTGGCTTCAATGGATGGTCAAAAAGGATCCTCAAGGTAAGCCTTGTTCATTTTTCGACTAACCACACTCTCCCTTTTACATTAGAATCCTAGACTTTGAGGAGGATTGAACAGGGCTTCCGGGAGGACATGTCAGGCAGGGGCCAGCTATGGGGGGATTAGGTGGATGTGTCTGAGAGTTAGGAAAAACTGGTCCCAGTTCGCTGGCCGATGAAGTCCATAGTTTCTCAGTGTGTTCGCTAAGACTTGGTTGCCTAGAGCAGCATCCCTTTGCAAATCTTCCTTGCTTTTGAAGCTCTAGGGTGCTCCAGCTGTTAGCGGGGATCTGGGGTTTAGTTTTGTATGTTTCTCCGTTGAAGTCTTAGGCAGGCTGGGGATGGGGCTGAGGGGTGCAGAGCTTGCCTAGCAGGGTGAAACCTCGGGGCTGATTCTAGGAGGACTCGAATCCCACCCTTCCCAGCTGCAGGAGCTCCCTGGAGCGGAGGACAAGGCCCTTGCGGGGCCCGGGCGGAAGCAGAGCCTCAAGTTCTTCTGTGCTGTGGAGGTGGTGCTGCCGTCCTATGGATGCAGGAGCCCTGGAGTCGGCATCGCTGACGAGCCTCTGCACCAGCTGGAAGAAGGTCTGTCTTCGGCGCAGGGAGGGCTGCAAGAGTGGATATATCATGTGTCCGTCTGTCTGTCTTTTCTTCCTTCTCTTCACTCTCTGCCAGCTACTAGCCAGGCAGGCCCTTCCACCGCTGAACTACTGAAGTCCTAAGGCAGAATTTTTATGCCTTATAATATAGATTTTCACTGAAGCACGTGCCAGCCAAAACCTTTACATTTACAATAGAGCTGCCCTCCTGCCCAGAGGCTCAGGGGAGGCAGGACATCCTGTGCCTCTAGTTTTTGGTTAAGGACTTGCTTTGTGTTGAGATAATTGGTCAGAATCCTTTGTCTTCAGTTATCAGCAAGATCCTGCCGTAGGACGGGAGAAACAGCCCAGCACATAGGAGCACATACCGCCCTTGCAAAGGCCCTGCATCCTGTTCCCAGCACCCACTCCAGTGGGATCTCACGCCTCTCCTCGGGCACCTACACTAGTGTACACAGAGAAAGCCACATGCAGACATGGACATGCCATTTATCATTATCTAAACATTGCATAAACCCTTGTATAGACAGACACTTAATCCTTTGATAATGGAATGCTTGAACAGACAAAAAGGCCAATGTGAAAAGGTACTCTAATTGATTTTAAGCTATTTTTCTAGACTCCATGGTCCTCAGCATGAGGAGTCCAAGTCAGATGTAAGGAGTTAGTGGGGGGCGTGGAGTAGGCTCCTGAGGCTGCTGGATAGATAACACCCACCCTCAGGACCGTCACCTGACCTTGTTCCATCACCTGACCTTGCTCAGTGTGAGTCCAGCCCTGAGCTGTAGCAGGCAGAGTCTGCGGGGAGACCTGTCAGTTTGGAATTGGCCAGTGATAGGAGCTGTGTACCTGTGCCTCAGTTGGATCCCGTAGTTATTACATAAGGAATTTCAGAATACACTGGGCCTGTGAGATAATGGGCCCTGTCATTATGTACCTTCAGCAGACCCATTCAGCCAGCTCCTTGTGCTACATCCCTTTAGTTGCTCAAATAATGATCTGAGACTGAATCATAAATGTATTTTCTTTTTAAACAAAGAATAATTGCTATCCATACAAGTATTTACTTATTTTTTACTTTGTGTGTATGGTGTATTTGTGTGTAGTGTATGCAAACATGTGTGCACACAAAGTGTGTGGGCCTGTGTGTGTGTAAGCCTAGAAGCCAGAAGAGGGTGTCTGGTGTACGCTTCTCTTTTTCTCTTTTTTTTTTTTTTTTTTTTTTTTTTTTTTTTTTTTTTTTTTTTTTGGTTTTTCGAGACAGGGTTTCTCTGCGTAGCTTTGCGCCTTTCCTGGAGCTCACTTGGTAGCCCAGGCTGGCCTCGAACTCACAGAGATCCGCCTGGCTCTGCCTCCCGAGTGCTGGGATTAAAGGCGTGCGCCACCACCGCCCGGCAATGTACGCTTCTCTTTATTCATTTGAGGCTAGGTCTCTTCCCTGAACCTGGAGCTTGTCTGTCCTTGGCCAGCTAGAATATAACAGCCCTGTCTTTGCCCGACTCACTGTGGGATTGCAGACATGCACAGGGTCGTGCCCAGCTGTTACACGGGCACTGTGTCCAAACATTGGTCCTCCTGCGTCTGCAGCAAACACGGAGCCTCTCGTCAGCCCCCATTCAGGTATTTGAAATCTGTCTGCTTTTGCTCGGCTCCAGGACAGCCATCGTTTCTCATGAGGAGGAAGACCGCTCAGAAGCTCGCGATCCAGAGCGCCTTGTCAGACGCCTTCCAGAAGCTGGCCATCGTGGTTTTAGGTGAGCCTTTCTTGATTATCCTGAGTGCTCAAAACTCAGCAAGCCGGAAGGTCATTTTAAAACATAAATAGTATGAAAATACTAATATCTGGAACATTCCGAATTCTGCTTTCATTCACGGAACTCTGCTGTGGCAGTGGCCTCAGATTTGTCCGTACAAATATATGTACGTAAGAGGGACAGGGCCTACCAGTGGGAGGCTGCAACTGTGAGACATTTCTTGTATCTTGTGGAAGCTCATTTCTTTTCTTTTTTTTTTTTTTTGGTTTTTTCGAGACAGGGTTTCTCTGTGTAGCTTTGCGCCTTTCCTGGAAGCTCATTTCTTGAGGAGTAGAAAATTGCCCATTGCTTCTAATCCAGTGTCCTCTATGCCAGGTCTGAATTCACTTTGTCTGCCACCTACGCCTCAGGTTTCAGCCATTTGAACCTTTTTTATTTCCAATTTCTTGCTATGCCCTAGTCCTGTATCTAAAATACCAAAGTTGTTTGAACTAACATGCTTGATACCTCATTTTTTTTAAAGACTTATTTATTTATTATGTATACAGAAGAGGGTGCCAGATCTCATTACAGATGGTTGTGAGCCACCATGTGGGTGCTGGGAATTGAACTCAAGACCTCTGGAAGAGCAGTCGGTGCTCTTAACCACTGAGCCATCTCTCTAGCCCCTCATTTTTTTTTAATGTGCATTGGTGTTTTGCCATGGATGTCACGTTCCCAGGAATTGGAATTACAGATAGTCATGAGCCGCCATGTGGGTGCTGGGAATTGAACCTGGATCCTCTGGAAGAGCAGTCAGTGCTCTTAAACATTGAGCCCTCTCTCCAGGCCCCCCCCCTTTTTTTTGAGAGAGTCTCTCTGTAGCCCTGGCTGTCCCGGATCTCATCATGTAGACCAGGCTGGCCCAGAACTCTCAGAGATCCGCCTGCCTGGGCACCACCATTCCTGGCCCTGCTCATATATTCTTTAAGCAGATGGTTCTGATAACTGCAGCGTGGGATGCGACATTTCTAGAGACATGCTCTCCTTTAGGCTTTAGAGACTATAAGCCTTCGTCGGGTGTGACTGTTGGACTGTGTTGACAAGTTTGAGAACAAGAAAAACTCTGAACCGATCCTCACTTTCAGAAAGTGGCAAGGTCGCGGTAGAGTACATTCCCAGTGAAGAGTCCATAGATGCCGAAAGTGAGGAAGAGCTACAGAGTTTAATCCAGGTACGTGGAAAACCTAAGCCGAGGTTTCCGTAGCTGGGGTAGCCAAGCCTGAAGCAGCTAGCAGGGTCCGGAAGACTGCACCGTGCAGCATCCTCAAGGAAGTGTGGACTTGAAGTCCATTGAAGTACAGACGATTTGGGGGCCTTTCCCTGAACTCCTAGCCCTGGCCTCTTCCCCCTTGTGTGGAGTTTGACGAGAACTGAGGTCCCTGACAGCATGACTGTGACTGTGGCCCCCAGATAGTTGGGAGGTCCCTGAGCAGTGATCATTTCAGAACTTCCTCCATGAGTCCCAAGAGCACATGGAACAGGGCAGGTCTCTGATGTGCTACCACCAGGGAAATCATCTCTCTCTAAATAACTGTGTTATTTAAACCCTTACATTTCCCTTCTCTCTAGCAGAAGAACTTCCTATAAGTTTTTTTGCCAAAGACCTTCTTATAAATCAGTTATATAAAAGGTCTTAATCAGAGAATAAGTTGCCAAAGTCACTTCAAGAAAACGGTCACTATTACATAGAAGATGTATTAAAAGCAGTAGTGGCCGAAATGTGTTCTGCCTCGTGGGGATGTCATTTGGGGGGGGGGGTTTGATTACTTACTGCACCCCAGAACTTTGAGGTGATTTGCTTTGAGCAGGTAGAGTGGTCGCTGTCTCAAAAAGTAAAGTTCTCCATGGAAAGCAATGGTTTGGTTCAGCTTCAACGGGGATCTCCTGGGTAAATGTTTCCCCATGGCTCCGTTCACCGCAGAGAGGTTGGGGTGGGCTGCCCCGAAGTGAGGACAGGGGCCTTGGGCAGTGGTGTCCATTTATTCTTTTACTTTTTACCAAGTGTGCCAGAGAGAGAGAGAGACAGAGAGAGAGAGAGGGAGGGAAGGAGTCAGTTACCACAATGCAGGTAATGTTACCCTGAAGCTGGTGTCTTGAGTCTGCAGACCCTTGGCTGGTAAAGGAATATAATTGGCAGTTGGGCAAGTGGGATCTTCCTTCTGTAGCCAGAAGATGTCTTCATAAGAGGCATTCATCAGGAGGGAAGGTCCCAAGGTTCAGCTGTGGTTTCTTTGGCTCCATCCTCGTTAGTTACCCTGCCTAAGAAGGAGACACAGCTACCAAGACATAGCTGCAGTTTGGTTTGGGTTTTTGTTTTTCGAAACAGGGTTTCTCCGTGTAGTTTTGGTGCCTGTCCTGGATCTCACTCTGTAGCCCAGGCTGGCCTCGAACTCACAGAGATCCGCCTGCCTCTGCCTCCCGAGTGCTGGGATTAAAGGCGTGCGCCACTATGCCCAACAGTGTTGTTTTGTTTTTTGTTTTTTGAGGCAGGGTCTTAAGTAGCCCAGGCTGGCCCTGAACTTTGATTCTCATACTTCCCCCTCCAGAATGTTGTTGGCCTTCCAATTATGTACTGCCAAACCTGGTTTAGTGCAGTGGTTTGAATGAGAATGGCCCCCATAGGCTCATATATTTGCATGCTTAGTCCCAGTTGTCGAGTTAAGGATTAGGGGGTGTGGCTTGTTGGAGGAGGTGTGGCCCTGGAGGAGGAGGTGTGGCCTTGGAGGAGGTGTGGCTTGTTGGAGGAGGTGTGGCTTGCTGGAGGAGGTGTGTCACTAGAGTGGGCTTGGAAGTTGAAAAGCTCGCGTGTCAGGTCCAGTGTCTCTCTCTGCCTGCTTCTCGTGGATCAGAATGTAGCTCTCAGCTACTTCCCCAGCACCATGCCTGCCTTGTGTACCACCACGCCCCCCACCATGACGATAATGAATAACCCTCTGAAACTAAGCAAGCTCCCAATTACATGCTTTATTTTTAAGAATTGCCTTGGCAGTGGGACCAAGTCCTGTGCTCATTCCATGAGTTGGCTGTTTGAAACCAGGAACTTATGCAGGGACACTTGGCTCAGTCTGGGAGGAAGGGACTGGACCTCCCTGGACTGAGTCTACCAAGTCGATCACAGTCCTCGGGGGAGGACTTGTCCTGGAGGAGATGGGAATGGAGGGTGGGCTGGGGGTAAGGGGAGGGCGTGGGAGGGGGGAGAATAGGGGAACCCATGGCTGATATGTAGAACTGAATGGTATTGTAAAATAAAAAATATATATCACAAAAAAAAAAAAAAAAAAAAAAAAAAGAATTGCCTTGGTAGCCGGGCGGTGGTGGCGCACGCTTTTAATCCCAGCACTTGGGAGGCAGAGGCAGGCGGATCTCTGAGTTCGAGGGCAGCCTGGTCTACAGAGTGAGTTCCAGAACAGCCAGGGCAATACAGAAAAACCCTGTCTTGAAGAATCAAAGAGTCGCCTTGGTGTCTCTTCACAGCGTAGAACAGTGACTGAGACACAGGACAAGCACGCTACTAAAGAAGCTCTACCCCAGTGACATTTATCACACTTTCAACAAGTCCAGCTTTCGTCCTGTGTGGTGACACACACCCTTAATTCCAATGCTCAGGAGGCAGAGGCAGGCAGATCTCTGTGAGTTCGAGGCCAGCCTGGGCTACAGAGTGAGTTCCAAGCGAGCCAGAACTACATAGTGAGACACTGTCTCAAAACCAAGTCCACCCTGGTGGTGTGGCCCACGCCTTTAATCCCAGCACTCAGGAGTCAGAGCCAGGCAGATCTCTGTGAGTTCGAGGCCAGCCTGGGCTACAGAGCGAGATCCAGGACAGGCACCAAAACAACACAGAAACTCTGTCTGAAAAAAAAAAAAAAAAACAAAAAACAAAAACCAAGTCCAGCTTTCTGTGAGTGTGAGACGGAGCAATCAGCACTGGATTCTGAAATCTGACTGCAACAGTAGATTATTCACCGATTAGAGAGGAACTATTAGAAATAATTCCATTTTAAAACCACCACTGCGTGCCCAGCTGTGCCAGGACACTGGTATGTCTGGTTATGTGCGCATGAGTGCAGATGTCCTAGGAAGCCAGAGCTAGAGTAACAAGTGGTTGTGAGTCACACATGTGGGTTGTGGGTCTTGGAAACCGAACTCAGGACCTCTAGAAGAGCAGTACTTGCTCTTAACTGCTGAGCCTTCTCTCCAGCCCCAAAATGAAGGCTCTTCTTGCAAATCATAATATACATTGTAAAAGCGGCTCCGAAGTAAGTCAGCTAGGCATCTTCTCTGTGTTGGTGTGTGAATCTCTGAAGTGGTAGCCATGCCTGTGAGTCAGTGTGGGATGCGGATGCTTTCCCGGGCCATTGGAAAGGCTCCCCACTTTGATACAAAGCTTCTGGCTGAATTACCCACCCCCAAATCCCTCTGCAGAAGTGGAGGAGTGGTCACAGATTCTATCCTGGCTCAGCCCAAGCAGTGGTGAGTTGGGAACCATGGTGCCGGATGGTGAGTGGCTGAGGGATAGCAACCCTGGAGTAACTGCTGTGTACTCTCCCACCGCCCTGGTGGCCTTCATCCTGCAGGTCAGCTCCTTTCCTTGGAATCAGCCCGGCCAAAGGGAGGAGGAGTGTCTCTCCGATTTCAGCTTGGAAGAGGAAGAACCGGAGCTGTAAGAACTGCACTAGCTCTGTGTCGAGGCAAGGCCCTGCCATCTCACTCTCCTGGGAACGTCTACATTTCTGATCTGTGGGCTGTTGGCATCCCTCAACACCCAAGTGTGAGGCCCAAGTCTTGCCCAGCACCTCGGAAGAGGTCTAAGAGGCTGGCTGCTGCCTTTGCCTCAGGAATGACCCTGGGATGGGAAGAGGTTCCCTGTGCAGAATGGCACTGGGCCCAGAGGAATAAAGGTCGCCTAACAAAGGTGTCCTGTTGTGTTAGTGGGTGGTTTGGGTCCCCGGCTTCAGGAGCGTCACTAAGGTTTAGTTCCACAGTGAGGCTGTCTTTGAAGGGACAGTCTGACCCACTTTTCCTGGGGCCCAGGTAGTTCTCCCAGAGAGAGCCTTGAGGACAACCGACCCCTGGTTTTTGTATTGCTTTGGAATTGCCCTGTAGCCTACAGCCCAGACAGCACCTGGCCGTTTTGTTTTTTATTCAGTGTGTCTCTGTGTGTGTGTGTGTGTGTGTGTGTGTGTGTGTGTGTGTGTGTGTGTACACGTACCAGAGTTGGCTCTCTCCTTTGGCCACTTGGCCTTTTGAGTATCTGGGGTCCACTACCCCCTCATTGGTGTTTACCCCACGACAGGCGTTCACAACAGTTTGCTTTTGTTCCAGGATACCAGTGTCTCTTGGCACATATACCCTGAATCAGATCAGTTGTCTGTTCCACCCCAGAATGTGCCCTGCTAGCCGACTCGAATCCCAAGGCTCCCAAAGGTGGTTCCGGTGCTGGGGGGATCAGAACAGGGCTCTGCTGAAAGAATCGGTGTCGGCTCAGGACCTCCAAGACCAAGTTCTCAGGACAAAGGAGATTTATCTGCCCCAGAGGGACAAAGAACAGGGAATAAGAGACAAAGACAGGAGACAGAGGATGAAGGGGAAGGGAATGGGGGGAGACAGACGGACAAAGGACTGCCTCCGGATAGAAAGAAGACAGATGTGGCTCATAGGCAAATGGTGGTTTATAAAGGGAAAGGGGGAAACCTTGTGTTAGATTGAGGTGTTTAATTTTAATTGGGCATGTTAATTAGGTGTGCCACAGGGGGCTTTTGATTGCTGGATTTCATTACTTTGATAGCTGGACCTTGATAATTGTTGGCCTCAGAAGGAGGACGTGGCCAAATAAGGGAACAGACCTTGGTGACTAGCTTTAGGGATGTGATCTAATGTTTTTTTAGCAAGGCAGAGGGAATGGGGGAGAAGGGCAAGGCCTGCCAGAGCGGCATGTTTGAGTGGGTTTCTTAGATCCTAGTTAGCAGCAGAAACTCTATTTTGTCCCAGTCTGCCCTGAGCTGCTACCCACAATTTCCTGAGGCCAGACGGCAGCCCTCGGAGCCCCTCAGACACGTGTAAACCACGACCGGTCCAACCCCTTCTGATTGGCTGAAAGTGTCACCTGGAGAGTCCCCGACCGCTTCTCCCTGCATAGGTTATGATTGGATGGGACTCCAGAGCTGTCTCTTTGTGGTTTTCCCCTTTAAAACTGGCTGCTGCCCCTGCCTCAGGAATGCAGGTGGAGCCCAAACCCTGTTGCCTCCCTGACACCAGTTTTTTAAAATAAATTTTGGCTTGCTTGAACCCAGTCTTTTGTGGTGGATTATTTATTCCCAGATAAATAATCTGGGACCCTAACAGGCTACTCTCTTTTCATCAACTGTGCTGCTTTCTTAAAAAAAAAAAAAAAAAAAATGAGATAGGGTTTCTCTGTGTAACAGCCCTGGCTGTCCTAGAATTTTCCATGTAGAGCAGGCTTAACTTGAACACAGAGATCCACCTGCCCCTGGAGTGCTGGGATTAAAGGTGTGTGCCACCATACCCAGCCCTCAAAATATAGGTTTATTTATTTATTATGTATACATAATATGTGTTCTGCCTGCATGCATGCTGCGGGCCAGAAGAGGGCACCAGATCTCATTCATTACAGAAGGTTGTAAGCCACCATGTGGTTGCTGGGAATTGAACTCAGGATCTCTGGAAGAGCAGCCGGTGCTCTTAATCTCTGAGCCATCTCTCCAGCCCTCAAAATATTTTTTATTCTGTGTCCCAAGAGGCCAGAAGATGGCATCAGATCCCCTGAGCTGGATTCACAGGCAGTTGTGAGCCAGCTGACCGAGGGCTGGGAACTGAACTCTGGTCACCTGAGATAGCAGTAAGTGCTCTTAAGGGCTGAGCCATCTTTCCAGCTCCCCCTAACACCCCCTCCACACATTTTTGGAAACAGGTTCTCTTGTAACCTTGAGATGTCTAAAGTTCCATTGATGGCTAACTTCATGTTTAGAAGTTTAAAATTCCTGTGCTTTAGAGAACTGTAAAGCATCAGTGGACTTCCAAATGTTAAGGGCTGTTACTGTCTGTTCTTGTACAATTTTAACAAAACTGTTCTTTGTGCAAGGTCATAGGTCATAAGGTCAACCGCTGTTTCTGATTCTGTAAACAAAAGCTTGCTTTGCTCAAGATAACCTTCAGAATGTATCTTTGTCTTTACCTTTATAAACTCCTGACTGAGGTGGCTTGTCCTGCATTTGGGAATTCGGAGTCCCAGTGCAGACCTGGCCCCTGTATGTGAATAAAAGCCTCCTCTTTGTTAAAATGTATTCGTGGTCAGACTGGTGGATTTCTGAACGTTCCAGACCCATAACAGTCTGCACTGGTCTCAAATGATTTCTTTCCCTTCTTAGAAATAGGAACAAGAGGGTTTATTAGGAAAGGGTAAGGGCTGGAGAGATGGCTCAGAGGTTAAGATCACTGGCTGTTCTTCCAGAGGTCCTGAGTTCAATTCCCAGCAACCACATGGTGGCTCACAGCCATCTGTTATTAGATCTGGTGCCCTCTTCTGGCCTGCAGTCATACATGCTGTATACATAATAAATAAATAAATCTCTAAAAAAAAAGATTTAAAAAAAAGAAAAAAAAGGAAAGGGTAAGCAAGCACTCTGGAGAGGGGGGGCATTTGCTTCCAACTCAGGAGAGCGAGGGATGAGCTTGAAGGAATGCTGCACCCTCCCCTTCCAGGTCCGCTGTCTGCACCTCATCCACTAGGTGCCCTGTTCTCCCAGAGACTCCTGTTGCCCCCTGCCGCACTCTGCACTAGAGACTGTAAAAACCTCAGCTCACATCTTTAAGAGAATAAGACAGTTTATCCTAGAGCCATTGCGTGACCGTGGCCCGGGAGCAGATTTAGGTGCCCCCAAATTCCATGTTCCAATGTGAAAGTAGTTTCACAAGGTTTTTATAGTTTTACAGAACAAAGAAAGTCTTAAGGCAATTTTAAAACACATTGGTGAGAACCCCAGAGAGGCAGATACGTAGGGATGGGGGGCTATTTTACAGGCCTCATATGCTATGTACAATCTCAGCTCTTAGGCTGGTGGACACTTGCGTTCTGGTAAGTTAGTAGCTCCTAAGGTTTTTATTCATTATCACACACAAGGTGTTAGTTGAGATACAGAGTGGAGCAAGGCATGGCTGTCCAGAGCCGAACACCAGGCCAAGATGAAGTAATCAGGCTCTGAACCTACAAAATTCCAGTCTCGCCACAGTACTGAAATCCCATCTGTCCACCAGTCTGCAGACACAGACTCCTTCAGGAGCTTTGTGTTCATGGTCACACACGAACCTTTTTAGGGATTTTCATTCACAAGATCCAATCTGGGATTTTCACTTAATAGGTAAATGCTCTGTGACTTGTGATGGGCAATGTCATGTTGATGGCTAACTTTATGTTTAAAAGTTTAAAATTACTGTGCTTCAGGGAATCATAAAGCAAAATTGGACCTACCAAATGTTAAGGACTGTTAAGGGTTGTTTCTGTAATTGCCTAGTCTTGTACTACTCTAACAAAACTTGTGTATGCAAGGTCATAGGTCACAAGGTTAACTTTGGTTCTGATCTTGTAACCAAAAGCTTGTTTTGCTCTAGTTAATTGGGATATTTGCAAGACATCTGTTTGCAAAACAGAATGTATGTAACCTTTGCCTTTATAAACTCTGACTATTGTGGTTCGACACTGCACCTGGGAATCCCCAGGCCTGGTGGAGACCTTGAGCCAGTATCTGAAGAAAAGCCTCCTCTTCGTTAAAGTATATTCATGGCCAGACTGGTGGATCTCTGAATGACCCAGATCCATAAAAGACCGAGCTTAATATCCCAGTTCCTCTTTTTTTTTTCTCAAATTATTTATTTATTTTATGTACATTGGTGTTTTTCCTGCATGCATGTCTGTATGAGGGCATCAGATCCCCTGGAATAGGAGTTACAGACAGCTGTGAGCTGCCATGTGGGTGCTGGGAATTGAACCTCGCGGGTCGTCTGAAAGAGCAGCTAGTGCTCTTAACTTCTGAGCCATTTCTTCAGCCCCCCTTTTTTAAAAAGACAGTCTCAACCTGGTGGTGGTGGTACATGCCTTTAATCCTAGCACTCTGGAGGCAGGGGCAGGCCAATTTCTGAGGTCAGCTTGGTCTACAGAACGAGTTCCAGGACAGCCAGAGCGACAGAGAAAGCCTGTCTCAAAAAACCAAAAATAAAAATAGAAAGTCTCTTTCTATAGCCTGGAATTCCTCAGCTCAATATGTCCTGAAAACTTACTGTGTTGCCTAGACTGGTCGCAAAATTCACAATTTTCTAGCCTTCATTCCCCAAGTGCTAGGATTACAGGAATACAACACTGTTGTGTCTTTAGGGCTGCAAGAATATATTATAGAGATTTGGCTCTTAGTAAAGCTATACTTTGACTAGCCAAGGGTCCATCAAATGGGAAGCCATTATCATGGAATATTTGGTGTTATACACCTTAATATTTCAGCCGTCTTCTGGTATGAAATTCTCGCGTGCCCAAATACTCCCAGACCATATTGACAAACAGCTAAGCTTCTCAGATGCTGGTCCACTAGATAGCTAACACCCTTACAAGACCTAGGAGACTAGCAGGAGGCAGGTGCATAGCTTTGTTTCTTGTGCAAATGAAGCTCAGACCATCCCTTGCCTTCAAGGCTAGGGGCAATCTATTGAGGACAACAGGGCTTTTTGCACAACCAAAGACTCGAGTGGAACTCCACAGGGAGAGACAGAACCGCGTGGCCAGGGAGAGGAGAGGAAGACACAGATTCTGTAGAGGGTAAGGCAGATCTCGTGCAGAGTTTATCAGGGCCAGGGGTAAGGAGCCAGGAAATATAGATGGAGGACGAAGGAACAGAGGATGAAGATGA